CTTCGCGGCCAGGGCCACCCCCCCAAACATGAGGGAGTTTCCCAAGCCACCATCCACAGGGCCACCCACCCTCAGAACTTCCGTCTTGTCCGGGTTCAGCCTCAGCCCGTACTCCTGCATCCACTGCAGTACAGCCCCCAGGCAGCGCTGGAGGGACAGGACGGCATCACCTGCAGTTGGTGAAAAGGAGATGTAGAGTTGGGTGTCATCAGCATATTGATGACACGATGCTCCATACCCCCTGATGACCCCACTCAGTGGCCTCATATAGATGTTAAACAGCATTGGGGAAATAGTCGACCCCTGTGGAACCCCACATTTGAGACTCCACAGGGCTGAAATATTCTCCCCAAGCTGCACTCTCTGGGGGCGGTCCTCCAAGAAGGAACGGAACCAGGCCAGAGCCAAGCCACCGATACCCAACTCAGAGAGCCTCCCCAGGAGGATACCGTGGTATCAAAGGCCGCCGAGATGTCAAGGAGGACCAACAAAGATATTTTACCTTTGTCGGCCTCCCTCAACAAGTCATCATACAGGGTGATCAATGCCTTCTCTGTACCATGGCACGGCCTGAAGCCCGACTGAAATGGATCCAGGGCATCTGTTTCATCCAGATGTGTCTGAAGCTGGTCAGCCACCACCCTCTCAACCACTTTACTCATGAAAGAAACATTGACGACGGGCCTATAATTGCCAATTTTGTCCGCCGCCAAATTTCTTTCTTATGGGCCTAATGAGTGTCTTCTTGAGGGCAGAGGGGAACCTGCCCTCGAGGAAAGACCCATTTATTATTGCAGTGGCCCATTCTGTTGTACCTGTATCATCACAGAAAGCCTCTAACACACTAGAGTGACTTAAATGTCCTCTTAAATGAAGAGCAAATGCAGTCAGGCTCACTTTCACAACAGCAGTTCAAGTGCCACAGGAAAATGTATTCGCAAAGGCTTTCACAGACGAGATCTAATGGTTGTTGTGGGTGATCACTGCACACAAAAGACCAGCTAACGACACCCATCAATCACAGTGACAGATAATCTCTCCTCCTTATCACAACAATACACCCACAACAAAAACACACTGATCACCATAATCACCCATCTCCTGAAAAAGACAAAAGCTGATCCCACATCTATAAATACTCAGCTCCCAAACAAACTGCACCAGAGCACAAAGTGCTATTCCTGTCCTCTGAAGATGCCAGCCACAGAGATTGGAGATACGTTAGGAAGAACAACCTTCAGAACACGGCCAAAGAACCCGGAAAACCCACAACAACCATTATGCCACAGGAAACTTCAAATTGAACCAAACCAATGTGGGACAGACTCCCTGTCTTGTTGCAACCCTTAAACTACTCTTGTCATTCACAAGGCATGTTGCATTATCCCAGACAACCTTTAGGGTGAGTCCAAACTGCACTTCAAATAGATGTAATTCTCCTGGGAACATAGACTGCACATCCACCTCTGCCATTGTGTCCTCTTCCCCACTTCTTGAAAAAAAAAACAACCTGGCAAGTGACATGGCATTGAATTGATATAGCAACTTGTCAAGCTGCAGAGCTTATTTCACAAAGCACCAGACTTTAAAAACATAACAAAACATTGTGTGAAAGTGAAACAAGAAGTGCTCGTTTGAGAGGGACATCCTGCTGTACTGGACAACCCTTCAGCACAGTGCAAGATAAACTGCAGGGTTGTTGCGCCCCAAATGCCACAGGAAAAGTCAAAACTGACCCAAATTGACACGGGACAATCTGTCTGTCTAGTTGCACCCTATGTGTCCTGCTTTTTACTGTGGCAAACAGTAAGAGTGGCATTCAAGCCTTCCTTTCCACTTTGCAGTTCTTGCAGGCAACATGTTTGTGACTCACAAGAATTGATGACAGGACAGAAATACTGGCAGCTGAACCCAGAAGATAGACAAAATGAAATATTTGCACAATGCACACTAGCATGTGGAATTCACTGCCACAAGAGGTGGCGATGGTCATAAGATTCCATGGTTTTTTTTAAAAAGGGGTTAAAAAATTCACAAAGGATAAGTGTATTAGCAGCTGTATCATGGTAAGTAAAGATTTTTTTCAGGATGCCAAAAAGAGACAGAAGGGATATTCCACTCTGCTGAGAGATCTGCTGTCTCTGGCTTTCCCTTAGTAGTTACCTAATACCAGATATTCTGGCAGGTGCTTGAACTACTTCTAGCCAACTGGGTGCTTTAACAACTGCATTTTTAAGAACTGGTGCTCATATTTCTTATTTTCCTCTTCCTTCTTTATCCACCTTTCCCTCTTGTGTTATATCTTTCAACTGTAAGTCTTTTAGGCTAAACAGATCTGGACGTGTACATGAATAAATATGAAGCCATCACCTATAGAGTGCAACGGGTTGTATATCTCCGAGTATCAGGTGGTGGGATCAAATAATGAGACAAGGGTGGTACATTCATGCCCTGCTTGAGACCTTCTGAGAAGCCTTTGGTTGGCTGCTATTGCAATGGGGATGTTGGAACAAGTTCACTGCTAGGCTGTCTCTAGCAAGGCAATTCTTATGTTAATTACAGACCCAGGATGTTGGCCCAGGTCCACTGCTTGGTTGTATCCAGCAAGGCAATTCTCATGTCAATCACACAACCTATCTGGGCTGCTCCCCATGAAAGCATCCATAAAATAAAGCTTAAAAGGGATAAAACAGAGTTATGTGTGCATTGTCATGTACCTACTTCTCTTCCTTCTCTTGCATTTTTGCAGAGTTCTGGTTGGAATGACTTGTTTCAAAGCTTGTCATGGGCTTCACCAGCAAAGGTATGTCTGTGTTCTTTGGCAACTTAACAAGTTCATTGAGTAACCTTTCATTCTTATGCCCCGGCATATCCACGGAATCCAAATAAGTCCTGAGTTCTGTCTTTGACAAATCTGCCATCTGTTAACAGACATTTGAAGGATCAGTATATTTATAAATTCATCACGAGTAAATTCTCAATGAAACAAGAAACTGACATCTTTTGGCTGCTTGTTCCCCATTTGTAATCAAAGGAGTATTTACAGAACTGCTCCAGAAACAGTAGATACAACAAATGTCTAGAAAGGATAATAACCTATTTAGCACAGAAACATCGTATTGCAATTGTTCAGTGAACTCTGCATTCAAGGCAGTAGCCATGTGTTGTTTTTTAAATCACTCAGCATATTAGAATTACTTGTCTTAGAGAGACAACTTCTATATTTTTTTAATGTGCGCTTTCAGGGACAGGTCCTCTTCTCTATTACTGATGAAGTGGCCTTGTCCACGAAAGATCACATTAAAAATATATAAAGGTTAGTCTTTAAGATGCCACCATGTTTTTGTCTTTTTTAACTTTTTGTTTTCCTGTGCATTTTAATAACAGAAAGTCCTGATTCTTTGCTTCTGGATGACTTGGTAAGATTACTATTATGCCAAATTGTCTTGCTGAGCCTGGTCGTTTCCGCCGGCCTCCCCCTCATCCATCCCCTGAGGGAATAGCTTTCTTAGGCATCAATAGGTGCTAATCTCTACCATGACCACATGACCCTGTGCCACTTTTGATTCCGTTTGCATACCTTTTGTTTTGCTAACATTTTCTCTTTTATCTTTAACTCCATTTGTAACTGTCTTTCCAGTACCGCAGCTTTCTCCAGGATAGTTGCTATAGTAATCTCTTTCTGATGAAGCTCTTCTGTCAGGTCAGAGATTTCTGTCCTCATTCTTTCCACCTCGGAGGGATGGGATTGCTCTTCCCGATAAAGACGGTCCCTTATCTACAACAGATGTGGTCCACAAAGAAAAGAATGGGAGCTGTACTCTCAGATTGTATCATTTTTCACCTACTGCTGACTTTTGGGACTCTCTTATTCCAGTACACCAACCCCTCCAACTGTATTAGTGATAACAGATTTAAAACGTCGGACTGAGAACAACTAGCACTGCTTCTTCCTTCAACATACTGTTTGTATTGTCTCATTTGTCCTCATCCATAAACACCATAACTAAATTGTTGTTGAAAGTGAAAGAGTAACATGGCAGAGGGCTCATTTACAATTCCAGTATATATTGGAATATATGGGAATACACAGTGGAAAGCAGGAAGGAGGGCAGCTCTTCAGAGCTTCTTTCACAGAGTGTGTCCCTCAGCCCTAAAGCAACTGCCCTTGCGTTCAAGGTTCTCATCCCCACCCATAAAGGTAAAGAAGAAAGCAGGAAGGAGAGGGGAAAAACAGGGACAGAGGTATTCACACATCCTGATTCCACATCTGCATTTAAATAAATGGACCTCTTGTAGAAAAGGAGAAAAACTCACTGCCACCACTGAAAATAATGCAATCCCCTTTGAAATTAATCTGTGCTTGCACATTCCTTCTGTAATCACCCAAACATACACTGAACTAAAACATGCTGAACATGATTTAAATTGGTGATTTTTTTAGCAGTGGGATCAGGCTAGAGTTAAAACGCAATTTGTTCCTCAATTTCAAGGCAAGGCCAAGGCCAATATTGGCAAGGCCAATATAGGATGAAAGTGATGTGTCAGGTATCAGCTCCACCCCTCCCCAGTCATGGATATGTGACTCCCTAGACTGGAATACAGCAATTGAAGGATATAAATTGTTCAAAAGGAGCAGAAAAAACAGAAAGAGAGATGAAGTCACAGTATATGTCAAAAATACACGTTCCTGCACAGAAATACAGGAGGATGACCTTGGTTGTCCCATCAAGAACATCTGATTTACTTACTTACTTACTTACTTACTTACTTACTTACTTACTTACTTACTTACTTACTTACTTACTTACTTACTTACTTACTTACTTACTTACCACTTCCATTAGTCCCAAGGCACTACTCTGGGTGGTTACAACAAACATAATACAAAATAAAAATAAGACAAAAGAATTAAAACAACTACAATTAACCCTTAAAAACAGATAGTTTAATATAACTGGGGCAAAAAACCCAAAAGCAATATGGTACTGTAGTTGGAGTCTTCCGCTGACTACCTAATTAAGACGACGATGAGAATAACACCTTTGAAATACAAATTTCCAGAATTTCAAAGAAACGATGTACTGTATTTGCTGGCATATAAGACTACTTTTTTGCCCTGAAAAACATGCTTCCAAGTTGGGGGGGGGTCGTCTTATACGCCGGGTGCACTTCAGTTGGGATAGACACAGTTGCCCATAGTGGCCTTCCAATGCTCACCCGGTGCCCATAGTAGCCTCCCGATGCCTGCCCACCTCATTCTACATACCGTCCAGTAATCCGCGGTATCCAGCGCGGCCGCGGCGAGCATCAGCAGTGAGACGGGGTGCCAGCCTTTTCGACGTGACCGGACCATTCTGCTCGGTGGGAAGCAGCGGCGCTCCAGCCTGCCCCTTGTCTACGCAGAGCTCACACATGTGCACTTGTGCACTAGTGCTGGTCACAGCGAGATGCAGGGGTGGGCCAAAGGCACTGCGGTCACACTGTGGCAGTACAGTCGTGACAATGAATAGCACCTTTTATTTGATGTGTGGAAGGTGTGCGGAAGAGGGGGTAGTCTTATACGGCGAGTATATAACAAACTATATTTTGAGTGGAAATGTTGGGGGATCGTCTTATATGCCCAGTCGTCGTATACGCTGGCAAATATGGTAGTAGTAATGGGATATTTCAACTGTCCCTATCTGTTCAGAGGGAAATTCTGTTAAATATGGTCCTTCCAAGAAATATCTAACTTGTATTGCTGATAATGTTTTCCTACAAAAAGTGTACCCTATGATTCTTCTTGATTCTTGTGGCAATTGACACAAAGATAGTTGTGATGCCTTATGTTCCAAGGCCTGTGTATTCTTCCTGTGTGTAATATCTCTTTCCACTTCCCTCAACATAATGACAAACATTTTAGTAGCCGATGATGAAATATGATAAAAATCAAACAAATCAGATCACCCCAATGACCCTGAAACACTTCAGTAACTATATATCTATTTGTTGTATCTATCTATATCAATCTTACAAAGTGAATTTATACAGATTAGGCAGTAATTTCAGTAAGAACATTAATTCTACTTATGATGGTCATTGGAATCACTCCTAGTATGGTGCACCAAACATCTCTTTGGAATAGTCACAAACATTTCCCATAAGTATTTATATTGTATTAAGCTTTGTGTATTTCATTTTAACTGTTTGTAAACTGCCCAGAATAATGCTTCAGCACTAATGGGGTGATTTATAAATCAAAGTAACAAACAAACAAACAAAACTTCTGCTCCCCAAAATTAAGCCTCAGTATTGCCCTTGTATGGGACTTCTTCAAACACTCCTCATTACAGGGGAAACAGATGATGTGAGATTCAACAGGCTTTCCCTTAATCTGGCAATATTAAACCTAATTCAATATAACCACTCTCTTCCTTGCAGTGTAGAGAATGGGACTAGGATAGTAAGAATAACAGATACAAAAAAATCCCATATTTTCTTTCACTAACCCCAGGAGAATCTAAAGAAAAAAATCACACAAAAAGTCTAGTGTTAAAAGCATCTGACGCTAGTATAAAAAGCACATTATATCTACTAACAGGTTCTACTATCACTGCAAGTAAGTAAAATCAAATGCACAAATACTAGCCACAATTAAAAAAAACAACTCTCAGAAGCCCACAGAAGAGAAAATATGACAAATGTCAATACAGTCTTCTTTTTTTCAAAAGAAATTGCTCTCAAAGAAGAGAATCTGCTACTAGAATAATTTAATGGGTTGGTCTGTGCTATTAGATGTAGCCTTGAAAGTTGTATCTCCTGTACTGCTCTTTCCCTTGTGACTATCAAGCTGATTGTGGGTCCCAATAACTTTTCTGCTAATAACAAACAGCTAGATTCTGTCGAATTCTCCAGTTACTTAGTACAATACTGTATAACCCTTTTTGATGACAACGTTAAAATAACTAAGCAAAAACTCTCAACTGTATTTTGGATTCTCACTTTGTGATATTGATCTTTTTATTGCATTTTTAGGATTACACGGGATTTACTATTTTACTATCACCAAAAAGTTAGAAGGTAATTGTAACATTCAGCCCTGCCCTCACCTGTCCGTCACAGCTGAGCAGTGGAAAAGGAGCCAATGAGGGAACGGAAGGTGGTGCGAAAGGGGGAGGGGCTGGGATATAAAGGAGTGTATGGAGTATGTGAGAGGGAGTTCTGTGAGTCTGTGAGACAGTGCACCAGAAAGTCAGTGAGAGTTAGAAGCTGTGTGTTAGTGAGTTCAGTGAGTGAGAGAAATTGATTATCAACTGGTGATTTACTTATTATATTTTACTGATCAAATAAACAAGTTTAAGTGTGTTAAAGAAACACTGGCCTCATTGATTACTTGGAAATACTGGTGGCAGCTACCTGAGTAGAAGAGTGAGCACATACTGGAGGCCTGAGTTATTATAGGCTCCAGCGTGCCCGTTACAGTAATAAATATCAATAGTGAGAATTACCAGGCACAATTCATAGGGAGAATATACACTGAAACTGAAAGCTAAGGTCACTAAGAACAAAGAGGTTCTATTTCAAACTAATGATTTTCAGAGTGCAGTGTAAATGGAAAATTTAAGTTAAGGTTAAAGCCATCTTTCTTCTTCTTCTCATTCATTTCCTGCTTGGACATTGGACATCGTCATGGCTGCTCTAATTTTGAAGGCAGGCGCTTTCAACCATGACAACATGCTGCATCTAAACTAGCCTTCAAGGTTCTTTAGACAATATGTTTTTCACCTTCCCACGTTTCAGTTCTGATTCATTTTACCTTCACTGTGTCAGGATTTGTTGCTTTAAGTGAACAAGGGGTTAAATTTAATATTGTAGTGAATGCAAAATCATGCTTGTAAACGTCAAGTCATTGGATGACTGATGGCATGGAGCTGGAACAAGCTTAGGTAGTGCTTGATAACCACGTTCAGCTGCTATGTCTGCAGTGATAGGCTGCTCTCACTATTTAAGCAAGAGAGTGAGAACAGCACTTTGCCACTCAGTTGTGAGTCTGGTGGTCATTGCTTTATTTCTGTGAATGTTATGTTGCTCTGAGAGATCTATGCACAAGCCTATGTATATAATGCCATGTATATATGTCTGACCAATGCTAATATATCAAGTCTAATATATTATGCTATAATTCTTATCAGAACGCTCTCTGTGTTTTTCCTTATACGTCTGCGTCTATGCTCTGCTTATAAAGGGGAGGATTTGAAGCCACCAGATAAGAAATTCCGTCTAACTTGTTATCTTGGGCTCCAAGGTTTGTTTTCTCTAACAGAGTGCTCTTGGAAGCGTCACTATCCGAATCTGACTCCAAGCTTCTGGAGAGGCAAACACCACATCCGCCTTTGGAGTTGGGCCCACGCCAACACACTGTTATAGCTGCAGCAATCAGTACTTTTAGTTTCTCATATGATGATCAAAGTATTCTAGATTTTTATGGGCAGTATCATGTTGAGCTTATGCTGAGTGGACATTTCTGCCAGAGTAGTAACATGGGATTTTGCTGCTTGCACAAGCTGTGACTTTCATCAATAATACCAGCTTTTTTCTTTCCAACACCAATATTTCTGCAAAGAGCATTAGCCTGTCTTATTATGCTGATGGGATTTTCTGCTTACCAGAAACTCATTCCCTCATCCCTTGTGGTGCTTGGTGCCACTTGGTATTGAATGAGCATGGATCTTACCAAGGTTTTGTCCACAATTACTCTTAAAATCCCTCCTCTCTTAAAGAAATCAGAATGTCTTGAAGAAATGGTTGTCTGGCTTTTCGAGATGACCCCAGTACTTCTCCTTTCTCTATAGCCTGAGGGGTTTAGCATTAAAAATTAAAGGTTTATGACTTAACAATGTATGTGCACTGCTAAACCAATTTGGAAATCACTCTCTTTAAAATCAGTATCTCAATTTTTTTTGCATACATCTTTTGAAAATGATCTTCTCGGCTGAATGTTTTTGTTTTTGTTTATGCAGAACAATGCTAAAACTAAAAGCTTCCA